ATTCTGAAATTTTATTGTTAATCTTCTGGATTTCTGATTCCTGTCTCTCTATGGATTCTTGCAGCCTGTTAAATTTGTCATTATGCTCTTCTCTAATATTTTTAATTTCCTCTATTGCATGTTCTGCGTTTTGATTAATTTCCTTCCTAATTTCTTGAAGAGTTCTGTATATTAATCTTTTGTATTCTGCCTCCACTAATTCCAAGAAATTTTCTCCTCTGGAAAATTTCTAGATTCTTTATTTTGGGAGCTTGCTTAAGCCATCATGGATTGCCTCTTTCTGTGATTTGATATTGACTGTTGTCTCTGAGCCATCAATAAGTTATTATATTTATTCATTTTATGTTTTCTTACTGTGTCCTAGCTTTTTGTTTTGTTTTGATATGCCCAAATAGGCTGCTCATATGAGCTAGTTTGATTATTGGCATCTTTGAAGCTCTAATGTGCTGTCACCAGGTGGTTAGATGTGTTACTCGGTATGTGAGCTCAGGTGTCCGCCCACTCCTCCTCAGCTCAAGTGCCCAGGTAGATAGCCACTAATAGTGTGGTGTAGGCTCTCACTTACCATCCTAGACAGGCATGGGTGATTGGTGTAGGCACAGGCATCTGGCTGCAGCTGGAGGACACACTCTGAGCAAGGCAGGAGGCTGACGGCCACCCCTGAGTGTCCAGGATGAAGTCGTGTCCCTGTTCCCTAGAGCGCATAGGTGAGTGTGTTTTGCAGCTGGACTATGAGCACCTATTGCTGTTGGCTGTAAGGACTAGGGGGGCACCTCTTATTCATGGGCCCCTATCGCAGGTGGCTAGGTGGCGTGGATGGAGCCACCAGTCCACAGGCCCCTGATGTAGGTAGGTGAAGACCCTGCTTAATGGGCAGAGCAGTGTCAAATGTCAGGAACCTTCCATTTCACAGCTGAAACAGTTGAAGTTAGACTTCCGGTATATACCCTGTTGTACTGGGGTAATGAGGGCCTCCACTGTTGAGATGGGCCCACACAAGTCTATGCAGGGGAAAGGCACTCAAAGTCCATGGATCCCTTATGCCTGTGCCTAGGCAAAGGAGCTGTGCCTACCCTGGGTTCCTGGCTTAGGGGAGCCGACAGTTTATTTTTTCCCCTGGTTGTTAATTTGTTCACTCTCCAAGGCAGGGAGAATGGCTCCAGGTGTGTGATGGATCCTTCTTCCGGCCCAGGGGACTCAGCAATTGCTGAAGCCAATCCTGGACCCAGTGCAGATCAGGGAGTTGGGAGATAAATGGGAAATAGGTTTTTCCCCAAGGGGGGTGTTTTTGATCCGCACGGTAGGCCGTATGCTATTACTTATCTTCCGCAAGTGAGGACTGCTTCTCACTGGTTCTTGGTGACCATGTAGACTCTCTGGTGCTGGATCTCTCCTGGTGCCAAAAATGTGCCTCCCAAGCACCACCGCTTTCCTGCCTCACCACTCACCCATGAGGTACTGAGGCCTGAAGGGCTCAGGCTCTCACCGGGTTAGGTCTGGCAACTCCTCACTGCTTCTGAACCATCTCTCCCTCCCCCTGCCACTCAGTCCAGTTCCTCAACTCTGTCTTTGATATTCAGGGCTCCCAGATTGCCATATATAATCGAATCACTTGTTTTTTGGGGTCTTTGTTTTAAGCGGGTCCACTGGAAGTGTCTGACTTCTCCACCATCTTGACCCCCTGTTACTTCTTTAAAAAGTTCAAAGAAAAATAAAATTTCTTCTAGCACAGGGAAATCTCTAAATGAATTGAAAGAGAATTTCTATATTGAATTGTTAAGTTCTAAATTCTAAATTGCTTTTAATCTTTTTAAAGTTGCGTGTCGTATCACAAGATGTGAAATTGAGCCTTCATGAATTGGATGAACTTTATGTCATCTTTAAGGTATTGTTACTCTTCTTTAAATGAAATATAATGCTCTTTTAGCAGAATTTTATCGCAACCACTTTTAAATATTTTATCTTTAATTATTTTAACAGACATGTTTGAAAGAAAATGCTCTTCCAAAATTACTTTTTCTGATGTAATGACTTTTCTTTTTTTATTTATTTTTAATAGAAAGAGCTGTTTCTTTCATGTTATTGGTGTTTGAGTTGTCCAGTATTGAAACACCATGACCCCAGTCTGCCATATTTGGAACAGTATCAGATTGACTGCCAGCAGTTCAGAATATTGTATCACTTCTTGAGTCCCTGGGCTCATTCTGCAAACAGAGACTCACTAGCTTTGTGGACATTCAGATTGTTGGATGAAAACTCTGACTGCCTTATAAACTTCAAAGAATTCTCCTCTGTAATAGGTAAGAGGATGTCCAATCATTTTCTTTTTTAAAGCAAAAAATAAAGGAAACCGTATAAATATTTAATACTTGTTATTATCACCAATTTAGTCAGATTATATCACCCTGGGTTGCACTGTCTCCAGCTTTAGCAATAACTGGACCTTTTTCTGTGTTTGTTGCCAATTCTAAGTATATTGATCTAATTTTACCCCAACTCTCACAGAAAAGCAAGCTGTTAGATGTGGGTGTTTCAAAGAAGGAAGAGAATGACCTGGTTTTCCCACACTCAGGTGCATGGATGCTACAGAAAAACTTTCCAACCTAGAAAAGTGGTACGGGAATATCTAACAAACTGGTCATACCTGTGTATTGTTTATTTCTTTGTTTTTCCAGATAACCCCAGCATGCTTTGTTATCAGGGATTGCCCATTAAAGAGCAGTTCTTTCCTCAAATGAGGCATAAGGCGTCATTCCAAAGAAAAATTAAGTTTGTGGTTGGGGAGAAAGGAGATCAGCAGGAAAGCATTTTATCCCTCTGATAAAGGATATTTTGCTTATACCTTTCAGGGAGAGGATCTGGCTGGCTGGGTGGTTCTTTATTAACTTAAGTAACAGACGGTTTCTGATTCCTGATTCTTGGCTAATATCTGTATTTTAATTAATTTTAATTAATCTGTGTTGCTGGACTTAATTGAATGTTCTTTGGATTCATGATTATTTGTGATTTAATTTTATTGAACAGACGTAATGTACAACGGAAGTTTTACTGAGAAGCTTAAACTGCTTTTTAAGCTGCATATCCCTCCAGGTAAGATTTTAACAGTCTTTAATGATGTACAGGAAGGAGCCCTGGTGTCGCAGTGGTTAAGAGCTTGGCTGCCAACCAAAAGGTTGGTGATTCAAACCCACCAGCTGCTCCGTGGGAGAAAGATGTGGCAGTCTGCTTCTGTAAAGATTTACAGCCTTGGAAACCCTATTGTCCTATAGTGTTGCTATGAGTTGGAATTCACTCGATGGCAATGGATTTGGTTTGGTTTAATGATGTGCAGAAGGAGTTTATTTCATTTTAACAAATGTAATTACAGATGTATAATTCCATTTTAACAAATAACATGATTTTGAATATGCTATATGGCTATTGATTCATTGTGGCCCACAGATCATACTACCACTACTTTTACTGATATAATGAATTCTATGGAAGAGATTCTGTGTTAACAAATGGGTTTACAAATATCCTTCCTATTAGTGGTCAGTCCATTTACTGATAGTTTGTGTACACAAACTACACATCATTTGAATATTGGTTTAATGTTGAATTGGTTTTTTGTTTGTTTTTGTTGTTAATGAGTAGAATTTAACTTTAGAGAAACTTCTAAACTGGAAAAAAAAACTTAAAAAAAATCAGAAATGTGGGGCCAGATAGCAGGAATATTAAAAACTGGAAAAGACAGCAAAATAAAACTACCTCTTATTGAGCACATTGTTTCTCAGAGCATTTACTTTGCATACATTCTTTCATTTGATCTTCACAGTATCCATGAAAGGTGATATTATTCTTCCAATTTTGATGATAAGGAAACTGAGGGTGGGAAGGATTAAATAACTTGCCCAAGATCACATAGCTAATAAGTTGTATAGCTGGAATTCAAACTGAGGTCTGACTCTAAAACTCAGCTTTCCTTCTGTTCTACCAAACTGCCTCAACGTTACCACACCTTTCCAGTTTACTTTAGTGTCTCCCACTGACCTTAAGAGACTGCTTTTCCAAGGTCTGTTCAATGCTTTGAGAAAACAGTCTTAGGCTTTAAATTGAAGGCACATTGCAAAAGTACCATTTAGCTCACATAGGATAATTCACAAAAACAATTGGCACCTCATAGTTCTTCGAAAGCCACACCTGGGTTCCCGTTTAGAGTCTTCCCAGGACACCCAACAACTATTCTTCACTAGACCAAAAAGCAAAATGCCATCTTTAACTTTTCACACACTCAAATCACCAACACAACGTTAGAAACAAAAGACAAACCACTTAATTTAAATATAAAAGGCGTTTACATTGTCAAGTGAAGTTGGCTGTTAGAATGACTAATATTGCCATCAAATACATTTTCAGTAGAGGGATAAAAAAAAAATGTTATGTACCTGTTCAAGCGTAAGTAGGAAGTAAAGCAAAGCACTCATCTTCATGTTTTCCTTATTATTTATATATCTAAACATAGTATGATTTAACATTTAATGTTTTTTGTCTTCAAAAATAATCTAGAATGATATTACAATCCCTAATTTTGTTATTTTGTTACCTGACCCATTATCTACCTTTGTCTCTCATTATTAGTAAATGTGGTTTGGGTTATCTGTTTCCAGCTTATACTGACGTGAAATCTCAGGACCTTTCAAAAGGAGATGAACTTTCCAAGGAAGAATTACTTTATTTCAGTCAGCTACATGGTAAGTTTCTTTTTAAAAGTTTATCTATATTGATGATTGATCTCATAGAGATCTTCCTGGCTTAGATTATCTTGACCCAGCTATAACTAGTAAAATTTGAGTAAATTATACCTCTTTTGTATTATTATAACACTTAGCGCAGCATTAAGTTCCTGGTAAGTATTCCATAAATGTTTGACTGATTAGCCAAACTGCATTTTGGGGTTTTGATTCATGGAATTTCCTGTTTACTGGGAATTAAAAAGAGAATAAATTTTATTACTACTTATGTTTCAGAAATTTGTAAAATGTATCAGGCCATTTTTATGCCTTGCTAAAATACAAAGAAGACAATAGAATCTTTGCTGATTGAGGGTCATAGTTATTCAGACAGTGAATACTTATTATAAATTACTGTACATGTAGAAGACAGGGATGAATCTGTCTCCAAGACATAATTTGGAAGTGATATTTTTGTGCTCTTTGCTTCAGTTTCATAAATATGCAGTGTCTTTTGGAGGGATGAGGTCTGTTTAATGTATATTTTTGGTTACTGTGGTGGCATAGTGGTTAAGAGCTATGGCTGCTAACTATAAAGGTCGGCAGTTTGAATCTACCAGGTGCTCCTTGGAAACCCTGTGGGACAGTTCTACTCTGTCCAATAGGATCGCTATGTGTCGGAAACAACTCAACGGCAACGGGTTTGGGTTTTGGTTTCTATGTTAAAGTATTTGAACGTTAAGTTTGAAGAGACCTTACAAATCATCTAAGTCAAGTCTCTTAATTTTATATGTAAGGGCACTGAGGTCCAGAGAGTGGAAGTGACTTGTACAGGGTTTCACAATGAGTTATTGCCAGAACCAGGACTAGTAGCACAATCTTCTGACTTCCATTATGTTTTTCTTTCCTTTTTTTTTTCTTGATAGTAAAAGTAATACAGTTTAATGTGAGGAAAATTACAGAGAAGAAAATACCACCCAGAAATAAACACTTAATGTTTGATATACTTCCTTCTAGTATTTTTTTAATATGGATTTTTCCTCACTGTTCTTTGTACTCTGAAAGCTCTTGAGTACTTTGAATTCTAATGACAGGAGGTCAGATCAGCTAAAATTGGTTTGCTGAATCAAAAAAAGTAATGTGCACTTACAATAAGTCTTTATATAGAGTGTAATTTTACTTTCACAAGGTACTTATTAAATATCTTACAAAATGCAATTGTCCTCTTTTCCTCTAGTTTCCAGGCCTGCAAATGAGAATGAGGCAGAATCAGTAAAAAACAGCCCTGAAAAAGGTACGATCTAGGAATATCATTTAATTTAGTTGATTAAGTTATCATTTTTGTAAATAGGATTAACTACATAGGGGAAAAGTGGATCCCTTTAAAGGCTATTAATTTGTCCTGAAAGCTTTTTCAGTTCCTTTGTGTTGGTTTAACAATTTATTTTTTCTTCTTTTGATACCTAAGTCTCAGAACTTACAGAAAACATAATAGTAAATGATCCATATTCATTTAATTTTATTATTTTTAAAATATTTTTATTTACAAAAGTAATAGATAATCCATGTAAAAGGAGTTCAAACAGTACAGAAGCCCTTATGCCCCCCTGTCCAATCCTACCCTGAGATAAATGCTGAAAACAATTTGGTTTATATCTTTTTCAGACTTGTTTCTATGCATACACAAACATATATAGACATCTCTCTTTAAAAAAAAAAATCATTCCATAAATGTTGTTCTACAATTTGCTTGCTTCATTTTGCTATATATCATGGACGTTTTTTCATGTCAGTACATTTGGATCATAGTATTTTTAATGGATACAGAGTATTCCATTTTTTGGTTGTACCATAATTTATCTTGATCATAAAGATAAGATCAAGAACCGATGGTATTGAGGGAAGAAGTCTAAGCTGCACTGAAGGCACTGGCAAAAAACAGGGCTCCAGGAATTGACAGAAAACCAACTGAGATGTTTCAGTAAATGGGTGCAACACTGAAAGTGCTCACTCGTTTATGCCAAGAAATTTGAAAGACACCTACCTGGCCAACCGACTGGAAGAGATCCATATTTATGCTTATTCAAAAGAAAGGTGATCCAAAACTGACAAAAGAAAAACAAGAAAGGAAGCAGATAACCCGTATAAGAAATGAGATGGGTGATATCACAACAGACCCAACTGAAATTAAAAGAATCATAACAGAATACTATGAAAATTTATACTCTAACAAATTTGAAAACCTAGAGGAAATGGACATATTTCTAGAAACCCACTACCTACCTAAACTAACACAGAGATAGAACAACTAAATAAACCCCTAACAAAAGAAGAGATTGAAAAGGTAATTAAAAAACTCTCAACAAACAAAATCCCTGGCCCGGATGGCTTCCCTGCAGAAATCTACCACACTTTCAGAGAAGAGAAAACGCCACTTCTACTAAAGGTATTTCAGAGCATAGAAAAGGATGGAATACTCCTAAACTCGTTCTACGAAGCCAGCATAACCCTGATACCAAAACCA